GGCTTGAAGAAATCCTAATGTATGGCCTATAAAACTGGCAAGTGGGGAGAATGATTACTTTGTGTATCTGTAGGATATTGATGGTTATGTAAGTGCTCAGAGAAGCTACAAACACAGTAGCCATGATGTGTTTAAACCTGATCCAAGTATACTTAGAATGATAATTAGGAATAGTGACTCCAGGAAAGCCAATTCCAATGTATAGAGACTTAGTGCTAGGGATTTCTTCCCATAATAATCCCCAGGGAGAACACTAAGAGAAGAGAGGCTTACTTCTATTAACTGGAATTACTTTACTAATCACCGCCCTAATAGGACTAACAATAGGTATAATGTATAATATGTAGAATATAAAGAATGGGTCCATCATGGTAGAAAATATGACATAGGACAGGCATTAGAAGCAGTTTGCAAATATCATTTGATTCTCTCACATGTCAAATGACTTCACAGCCTTAGATTTAGTGTTAGAAAAAAGTGGTGTATGTGCCCTTGGAAACACTTCCTATTGTTTTTATGTGAACACCTCAGGATTAGTAGAGGTCTACAGGCCTTAAAAAGAGTTCCTAAGAGAAGTCAAGCTGTGTTTAGAAGAGGCCATGGCACTAGGGACATTATAGCCATTGTTAGATGGATCTTGGCTGAAAGCAGAGAGTACCAGAGGAATGTCTATTTGTGTTTCATTGACTATGCAAAGACATTTGACTGTGTGGATCACAACAAATTGTGGCTTATCTTGAGAAAAATGGCAATCTCAGAACACTTGATTGTGCTCATGTAAATCTTATACTTGAACCGGAAGCAGTTGTCCGAACAGATCAAGGAAACACTGCATGGTTCAAATCAGGAAAGGTGTTCATCAGCGATGTGTTCTATCTCCATACCTTTTCAAACTATATGCAGAACAGATCATTCAGGTGGCTGGACTATATGAGGAAAGGAAGAATGTGGCATTAGAATTGGAAGAAGACTCATCAACAGTTTGTGTTATACAGGTGACATAACCTTGCTGAAACTGAGGAGGACTTGAGGCATTTGCTAGAGAAGGTCAAAGACTAGTCTACAATATGGGTTGAAGCTCAATATAAAGAAAACAAAAATTCTCTCTCACCACTTGGCCAGTTGGCAGAGGAAAGATTGAGATTGTTAACAATTTCAGCTTGCTAGGTTCCACAGCCAACACTCTTGGCACCGGCAGTCAAGAAATCAAAAGACAAACTGCAGTGGGAAAATCTGCTGTCAAAGACCTCTCCAGACTGCTGAAGAGCAATGATATCGTTCAAGAGGCTAAGGTGTACTTGATCCAAGCCATGGTCTTCACAATAACTTAGTATGCATCAAAGTGCTGGACAATGACTAAGAATGATGGAAGTAGAAACAATGATTTAGAGTTGTGATGCTGGAGAAGAGTACTGAACATACCAGGAAACAAACAGGTCTGTCCTGGAGAGGGTGAAACCAAGCTGCTCCTTGGAGGCAAGGATATTTTTGTTTTGTTTGTTTGGTCCCCTGACCAGGAAATGAAGTAGGCAAGGATTTTTAAGTTCTGTCTTATGTACTTTGGGCATGTTTGCCAGGAGGGACCAATCCTTGGCTCCTTGGAGAAGGGAGGAGGGACTTAGAGGAACAGCACAGCAAGGAAGACCCTGAATGAGATGGATTAACACAGTGACTGGGGTAATAGAGGTAGGTGTGTCAGAGATGGTGAGATTGGCTCAAGGTAGGACAGGGTTCAGAGATACTGTACATTCTCCCACTCCAGTTTGCTGCTAGGCAGCAGCCACTTTCAGGGACAAAGGAAAGCTTCGGCCCTGAACCTTGGATTGGTAGGTGGTCTGTGCCGAAATGTCAACAGGAAGTAATCAGAAAGATTTTGTCTGATCCCTGAAGAATCAGGGCCGAATATCTCTGGGGTGAGGGGGAATGTTAAGAGCTAGAATTGCTACCTGGTGTCTCTCACTCTCATAGAGGAGGACTGGAGTCTCTCAGGAAACTAAAAGGAAATTATTACACTTATATCAATGTGATAGTGTAACCAGCAGGAGCCAAAAGTGATTACTCCAGAAAGTAGGACCCACCTCAGCCAAACTCACAAGTGCTTAGGTGAGGCTGGACTACAGGAGATTGTTGTTGTTATGTGCCGTCAAGTCACTTGTGACTCATAGCAACCTTATGTACAACAGCTCTGAACTCTGCTCTATCCTGTGCCAACCTTACTGTATCTGACACACCTACCTCCATTACCCAGTCAGGTCTTCCTCTCCTGTGCTGTCCCTCAACCCTTCCAATCATGATGTCCCTCTCTAAGGACTTGTTCTCCTTGCAACATGCCTGAGGTGTGTCAGACAAAGCCTCAGAATCCTATAAAAGGATTGCCCAACTGGACATCACTCACCTTTTCTCCTGAAAGCATGCTCTAAGGTCTGGTGTCACCTTTGGTTTCACCCTTGTCTTTCCAGGGGTCTTTTTCTTCCTGCTTTCCTGTTTTTTTTGTTGGGTTTGTTTCCCCCCCCCCTTTAACTCTCTTTTGCATGCCCCAACTTTCAATAGCTATGCCTCGATGTCTAATTGCCTTAATAAACCTTTTTCTTTCTTTGTTTTTTTATTGTCATTTTAATTAAAGTTTACAGAAAGTAGGATTTTCATTCATGTAGTGTTGCACATTTTCCTCCATTCTCCTCTCATCCCCCTTCCTCCTCCAATCCACTTTGGTTTTTGTTGTTTTTTTTAAATTCATTCATTGTTGTACATTTTCCTCCCTCCCCACTCCTTTCTCTCTCCCCTAGCCTACAAGTAAACCTTTATCATTTGTTCAGCTAAGTTGAAAAAATATTCCAAAGCACTATTGTTTTTTAAATGTTCCATTTTTAAGTTATAGTATCAATGAACCAGATTAATTAAGACATTTCAAGAACATTTCTTTTTACTAATCGTTGTCAAGGAATTTTATCAAGGGAAAAAACCATGCAAATATACTACAACTAACTGGCTGTAAAACAGCCAATATAAAGAAAAACAAAAAAGACAAGAGTCTTTTCTATTTTCTAGATTAAAGGTTCTGGAATTTTACACTGTAAACCAACAAAAATGCAATAAAAACATTTACAACTGGGAAAATTCAGAGCTCCCTATAAGCTCTTGAGGCTTAGTGGTGAGACGCTGCTTTGCAATCCCAAAGGCACCTGGTTCAAGGTGATCAGCTGCTCTGCAGGAGAAGGATGGGCAGTCACTTCCTGTGTGTTTAACTGCCTCAGAAAGCCTACCAGAGGGTCAGCTGTGGGTTGGTTCTGACTCTGGTACACAGCAACAACATTTATTATTGTAGAATTAATGTTGCTCACTTGTATGACAATGGTGTTGTAAAGATAGGAGAATTTTCTTTTGGAAAATGCATGCTAAGCATTGAGGAGTGAAATACGATGTCTGAAAATGATTTTCAGATGGTTTAGCAAAATAAGAGAATTTGCACAGCAGCAAAACATTTTTTAAAAACTGGTGAATCTAGGTGAAAGGTATATGGTATTCATTATATTATTACTTAACATTTCAGTAAGATTAAAATTTTTCAAGATTAAAAGTTAGGGAGAAAATCTTTCTATAGCCAAATTATTCTATATTTTATATCCTTTTAAATTTGGTTTCTTTCCAAAGTGTCTTCATCTGAAGATAGTAATATAGATTTCTAGTGCTTTTTACCTTGTTGTGCAAAATAATTCTTGACTGGTCATTGCGTTTCCAAGAACATGAACAGTCATGTTATAACTGTTTTTGAGAATATAAATTGATATACTGATATGCTTTTTAGCCAAAAGGAACCAGAAACATTATTAATTTAATACTTTTGTTTTATAAATGAGAAAACTAAAGTAAATAGAAATGAATGACCTGCCTTAGTTCACATTTCTAGATATTAGCAGAGTAAAACCAAATTTTCTTAGCCTCAACCCAGATCAGTTCAGTATTTGGTGATTTGTTAGGTGCCATCAGGTCAAACAAAAGATATGAACTAGTATTTATTCTATTAGAAAATTGGTGGAATGTGCCATATTTACTATTGATTGAACATAATCACATGGATATAGGCCAATTATAATAATGTAATAATAAATTAATGTATAAAATGTAAAAAATAGAATAATTTCGTCAGATTATAATAAGAATAAATCTGGAAAGTAATTTTGCAGAGAATCATTGTGGTTTGGAGTGAATAGTAGTCTCCTAGTAAGATATTAAGTATTATAGAGACCAATATCTGAATTACATTTACAAAATCCTTTGAAAAAAAGGTATTTATTTAGTTTTTTTAATAACTTTGTTGCTAAATGGTCCACTTTCATTTTGAAGGAGAAAACACAAATTACACAGTTTATATTTTTTATTTGTAGCTTATAGGAAACCCAAGACTCTTGAAGTCAAGAACTTTAAGAAAGTTATATTACTAAAACTTGTTTTTCCTTATTTACTTAGCACTGAAAAAGCAATATATCCATATTGGGGAAAAAATCACAACTGTAAAAAAGAATAAAACTAGTCAAAATTTTACTTTTCAAACACAGCCACAACTAATATCTTAAAATCCTTCTTTTCTTTATGCATATGTAAAAACCTATAGTAAATTATATATTTTCTTAGTGAATAAAATGTTATAAGTTTTTTCGCATCAAAGTGAATAAAGCAGATCTTAGTTTTATACTGCTCACTTACTTCTTACCTTTTTATTTTCCTTTAACGTTGTTATGTGCCATTGGGTTGGAACTGACCCATAGCTGATCCTCCAGCAGGTTTTTCAAAGGCAGTAACTAGCATGGGAGGAGATTGTCCATCCTTCTTCCATGAAGCAGCTGGTGGATTTGAACTGTTTGCCTTTGGGATTGCAGCACTACTTCTTAACACTATACCACCAGAGCTCCCTTTTATTATTAGCTAATTTTAACATGATATTTAATATAAGATCTTTGGTGTTCTGAGTTTTGAAATATAATTTCTTTTGTAATCCACAGCGTAATGAAGTAACACCAAGTAGAACAAAGACCAGTAAGGAAAACAGTGAGCTAACAACAAAGCACAATGAAGAATTATCCAAAAGGTATTGATAATTAATTTCATGAATTCAGGTAAACAAAACAATCTGTAATTACCACTATTTGCATAATATTGTGCTAAATACTAGTGATGTGAAGACAAACTAGGCATGGGTGTTCCTTTCATGTGAAGTAGATACATAGGCAATGTGAAAAATTGACGAATAAACCTAAGTGCCCTAAAATTCAAAAGGCTTATAGGGGAAAAATAGGCTTGATAGAGGTATATAACTTAGTCTAGATAATATCTTTTGTAAACTGAAATATAGTACAAATACTGACAAAAGCAATAACTGTCATAATAAAAATACTAACCTAATTTTAAATTTCAAAAGGCATACTAAATTTTCAACAGAAATAGTGGAAGGCAAGCTTGATGCTTGAAGATAAGGGGAAAATTAGTGGTGATAATGTTGTTATTGTTAGGTATTTACTCAAATAAAAAGAAAAGATTACATGTGTGTGCATGCATTTTAGCTGATAATAAGGTATTATTCAATTATTGTATTTTCAGAAATGTTTGTGATGTGATCGAGAATATAAAAAAATATTTATAGGGGCCCTTGCATTACTTAAAAGCACAAATGAAGTTCACATTTAACCTTTTTTAGCCACTATGGTGAATCGAAGACCAGTTGAATTACTATACATATTTTCCCTGGAAAATTTCTTGTGTATAAAGCAAGTCAATATATAAAAATGTAACTTTTCTGTTTGTTTCATTTTATAGCACAGAAATGCATCTTAAAAAGACTCCAGTTGTTGAGAAGCAGATGTATTTCCCTCTTCAGAATTATCCAGTGAACAACATGGTAACAGGTAGTTTAAGATAAAATTTAAGAGAAAACTCAGGAAGAAACAAGGAAATATGAGAGGAGCCCCTCTATTATGAATATTTATACAGGTCACATTAGTCATGTGTTAAATTAATTTGACTACAATATTGGTGTGATGATGAACCTCACATTTTCTGTGGAAAATAGTTCTAGAGTGAACAAGGGGCTCTGGTAGGTAGCCTAGTGGCAAGAACCTGAACTGCAATCTCAAAGGCATGCATTTAAAGACCTCTTGTGCAATTAACTGCCTTTGAAAAACAGCCAGATGGTCAGCTATGAGGGTCAGTTCAGACTCAACGGTACTCGACAATAACAACATAGAGCAAACACATGTTTCTTTTTGCCTTAGTTGGTCCCAGTTTATACCTGTTATCCTGGCATCAATTTTTCCTCTTCAGTGCCTCAGTTTGGAAGATAAAGTATATGGGCAAATATAATCATAGTCTCCTTTGAAGATCTGCTGAAGCATGTCCTTCTTTTAGCATGTATGCAAACATGCACACACACACACACACACACAAATATACCTACACTCCCCTTAAACACAAAATGTACATATAATTTAAAAGGGCCATAGATTATCACTTATATATCCATGGACTTAATGTCACCTTAGTTCCCTACACTGAGAGGACAAACAAGCGAACCAATTGAAAGTTGAGCACTGAAATTTTGTTGTGGAGAGTGGATACTTCCAAATGAGTGGTATTCGGTGAGGTAACTGGTAACAGTTTTTTAAAAATATAGGTTAAGTTTCTTTTTAATATAGCAAATTTTATAAATATGTGTTACCGAGTTGCAGCTGACCCTCAAGTAAGTTTTCAGAGGCATGGAAGATTTCATTTCTTTCTTCTGAAGAGCAACCAGTGACTTCCATCTGCCCGCCTTTGGGTTGGCAGTGAAAAAACAATTAAAAATTATTTGTTTATTTACCTTTTTCCCTTAATTTGGTAGTGTTAAAATTGTCTCTTGCAACTAGGTTATGCTATCCCTTTAAGTTTAGCCATTTCTTCTTTGTTTGACCTTTCTTTCTTATTCACTTCAATAACAGAAAATAGCCTTTAGAATAGCACGTTATAAAGAACTTACAATGTGTAGGTTTGGGCTGAATTTTAGAGGAATAACCAACCAAACAAAACCTTGCTACTTAGCCATAGTAGTAAAAAAAAAATAATAATAATAATTCAGTCATGGAACTCCCAGGAGCATTTCTGGACTACTAAGGAAATGAACTAAATACCCAGTGCCATTGAGTTGATTTCAACTCACGACAGTCATCCTTCATGTTTCCAAGGCTGTGAATTATTTTTTTAAAATTATACTAGTTAATTTACAAAGTTCAAATGCATTGTTTTCCAGAACAGATTCTTCCAATTTCTCTCGCTCCATCAAATTGTACAACTCCCTGATTAAACCCGGTCTCTGCCTACATCCTCATTCCTCTGCTTCCACTCCCACCCCCAACCCCCCGGGATCCTTATACTCAATCTACAATAATGGTTTTACACAATATTTATCCTTGTGGGACTGAGTTAGTTCACTCAGCATAATACTTTCCAGTCCCACCCAAGTTAGGTAATAATTTACAAAATCATTGCTCCTGCATGCTACATATTTCTTTGTGTGAATGTACCGTAATTTCTCAATCCATTCACTTGTGGTTGGACATCTGGGCTGTTTCCATGTTCTTGTGATGGTGAATAATACTGTTATGAACACTGGTAAACAAGTCTCCATTTGTTCCTCAGTTCTCATTTTCTCAGGATATATTCCAAGTAGTGAAAGAGCTGGGTCATAGTTTAACACAACAGTGTTAATCAGTGTTAGAGAGGATGTGGCGAACTCTTATACACTGAGAAAGGAACGCGTAAGCACTGTTGGTGGGATTGTAAAATGGTACCACCTTTCTGGAAAGGCAGTTTAGCGCTTCTTCAAACATAGAAATTCCTTATAAAGGCTGTACATTTTTATGGGCGCACCTGCCTCCTCTTTTTTCCAAAAAGCAGGTGATGAATTTGAACTGCTAGCTTTTCAGTTAGTCATAGCCCATCACTAGACATGCTGTTCCATCAGGTCTCCTTCAAGGAGCTAAATTCTCAAACTTCACTACTGTGGAACCAGTTCCAACCTTCATCAGAGTTTAAAACTGTAAATTTTAACAGGATAAGATTGTCAATCTCTCTCAGAGCCCCTGGTGATTTTGAACTACTTTTCTTGGCCCTTTGCTTATCAGCATAACATGCTACAGACTATTCCATGAAAACAAAATTGAAGAACTTAAGTACTAAAATTAGGAACAGCTGATTGTTGCTCCAGTTTACTCCTGCATGACTAAACTCTCTAGGCCTAAATATTCAGGTAAGATGTTGTTGTTCCTGGTGGTAGATGCCTTCAGGTCAACCCTGATTTATAGTGACCTTATGAAAACTTTGCTCTGTCCTATGCCATCACCACAATCTCCATTTTGCACAAGTTGATTGTTATTATCACTGTGTCAGTCCTTCTCATTGAGGGCTGTCTTCTAATTCCCTCACTTTCTGTTTTTCTCAGCATGATGTCTTTTTTCCAAGGACTGGCCCCTACAGACAACATTCTCAATGTGTGTGGCACAAAGTTTCACTATCATTACCTCAAAGGAGCTCCCTTGTTGTGCTTATTCCAAGATAGACTTCTTTATTCTGAGTTATTTAATACTCTTCACCAACACCTCACATCAAAGGCATCAATTCTTTGATCTTATCCAACTTTGATATGCATGTTGTTGTTTTCATGTGTCACAGAGTCATGTGCAACTTATAGTGACCCTATGTACAACAGCCCTAAGCCCTGCTGTATCTTATGCTAATTTAACTGTCTTCAACACGCCTATCCCCATTACCCAAGTCACTAAATCGTCCACCTCATAGAGGGTCTTCCTCTCCTGTGCTGCCCCTCCACCCTCCCAAGTATGACACCCTTCTCCAAGGATTGGTCCCTCCTTGCTACATGCCCAGAATATGTCAGAGGAAGCTTCAGAATCCTTGCCTCCAAGGAATATCCTGGTTTAACTCTCTCTAGGATGAACCTGTTCATTTTCTTAGCAGTCCATGGTATATTCAATACTCTTCTCCAACACCACAGCTCAAAGGCATCAATTCTCTTTCTATCGTCCCTAGTCATTGTCCAACTCTCTGATGCATAACAAGTGATTGCAAAGACCATGGCCTGTATCAGGTGCATCTTAGTCTCCAGAGTGACACCATTGCTCTTCAGTACCCTGGAGTGGTCCCTAACAGCAGACTTTTCCATCACGATACATCTTTTAATTTCCTAGCTGCTGGTGCCAAGACTGTTGACTTTAGAACTAAGCAAACTAAAGCTGTTTACAATCTAAGTCTCTTCACCATCCACCCTGAGGTCCAGTGGTAAGAATCTTTGTTTTCTTGATATTGAGTCTCAATCCATATTGAAGGATGCAGTCCTTGACCTTCTGCAGCAAATGCTTCAGGTCTTCCTTAGTTTCAGCAAGCAGAGTTGTGTCATCTGCAAACACAGATTGCTGATAAATCTTCCTTCAATCCTGATGCCACAGTCCTCATACAGCCCAGCCTCCCAGATAATCTGTTCCACATATAGTTTGAAAAGGTATAGAGATAGGACACATCTCTGGCATACACCCTTCCCAATTTTGAACCATGCAATGTTTCCTTGCTCTTTTCTGACAACTGCCTCCTGGTCCAAGTATATAGGTTTTTCATTATCACTATCAAGTGTTCTGGGATTTCCATTCTCAGAGTCAGCCACAGTTTGTTGTGATCAACACAGTCAACCCTATGGTGATGAAAGAAGAAGTTCAAGCTGCTTTGAAGGAATTGGCAAAAGAGAAAGCCCCAGAAATTGGTGGTATATATGAATTGACGTTATTTAACAGATGCAGCCCTAGATGTGCTCACCAAGTTGTGTCAAGAAATATGGAGGAAAACCATTTGGCCAACTGACTGGGAGAGATCTATATTTGTTCCCATTCCAAAGAAAGGTGATCCAACAGAATGTGGAAATTATCAAACAATATCATTGGTATCACATGCAAGCAAGATTCTGCTGAAGATTATCTAAAAACGAACAGAACAGTACATCATCAGAGAACTGCCAGAAGTTCAGACTAGATTTAGAAGAGGCTGTGGTACTAGGGTTATTATAGCTAATGTTAGATGGGTCTTGGGTGAAAGCAGGGAGTACCAGAGAAATGTCTGTGTTTCATTGATTATGCAAAAGTGTGCATGTGGATCATATACATAGAAAGCAATTTAAAATACCATGGCTTAGGTTAGATACACCTTAATCTTCAAACTGACAACCTTGTTCTTTAGCACTTCAAAGAGGACTTTGACAGCATATTTTCCCAATGCAACAATTTTGATTTCTTTTTTTTTTTCAATTTTGATTTCTTGACTGCTGTTGTTATGAATGTTGATTGTGGACCCAAGAAAAATGAAATTATTGACAATATCAATCTTTCCCCCATCTATTCTGATGTTGTCTATTGGTTCGGGTGTGAGGATTTTGTTTCTTGATATTAAGTTATAATTAATACTGGAGGCTATAGTCTTTGTCTTCAGTAAATACTTCAAGACTTCTTCACATTTAGCAAGTATAGTTGCATTATCTGCATGAGGTTATTGATGAGTCTTTCTCCAATCCTAATACCACGTTTTCTTCATACAGCCCAGCTTCTGCAATTAATTATTCACCATACATATTGAATAGGTATGGTGAAAGGATGCAATGCTGACACACACCTTTCCTGATTTGAAACCATGCAGTGTTCCCTTGTTCTGTTTGGATAACTGCTTTTTCATCTATGTACAGGTTCTACATAAGCACAATGAAATTCTAGAAATGTAGGTTCTTTAAACCATGGTTGAGAGAGTATTACAGTGAATTTTTCACCAGTTAGTTAGTATCTGATGTTATTTTATTGGTTTACTAAATGTTTAATTGCAT